CATAAAAATACAATGAAGGCATGACTCCTTGGTAGATGAATACCTTGGAATGTTTCAGGGAGAACATTCTAATTTACTCATCATCATTCTTTTCAAAACCTGTTAATGAAGTCAGGATAAAATAACCTACTTGAAATGCAGATCCATACAGTAACCACAGTACAACTTAATAGCTCATATTCAAAGGTTTGGTATTTTACATTAGTGTTTTATACATATTTTGAATACAACCTGTTTCTGAAAACTGAATAATTTAGACAACTGAAGACTGCAAAAAATTACTAAATTGTAAATCAATGTTTTTATGTATGTTGCAATTATGCAGTCATGTTCTAGCAATTACACTAACGTTATTAGTGATGGTGGAAAAGTGTTGCAGTGTGATACCAGTAATAAGGTGCTTTATAATGCGTGTTACAATTTCTTGCTCTAGACCTGGATAGATTATTTTTTGCAGATCTAGATTTTTCTTTTTCTCTTCAAATTATTTCAGCCAAAATGATACCACATATACTAGTCTTTATTTTGCAGGTGAATTTAACATTCAATAAGTTTTGTAAAGATATTTTCCTTCTATAAAAAGGGTATTTTCACTTTCAATACCATATTATACCAGAATGGAAAATAGTTTAAATCAATCCAAAAGCTCTGGACATTTTACAGGAAATCATATTTTGTTTTAATTTTCAGTAACTGAATATCAAATTGAGATATATGCATACTAAATATTAAGGCCTTTATTTACCAACGTTTAACAAGATTTGAACTTTGATAAAAGACAATGTGGAAGGTGGGGGGAAAGAAGGATGGGAAATATAAAACCCTATATTATTAGCCTATTGATCAAGCATGACTTAATTCTCAGTACTATGAAAGTAAATATTAAATATTGCCCCACACATGAGCTGTATAACTTCAGTTCCATTACCCAGCTGTGACAGATGTGATACCTCAGAAACACTGAGGCTTTCAAGGACTATTGTACTGACATGTGATAAATTCTATGGACACACAGGTTCTTCAGGAAGACTTCTGAATCAATACTGTAAGCGTTATGTAGCATGGTTCTCCTGGTTTATTGTGAGGTGACTGATGCAAATTACTGGGCAGGGGAAAAAACCTGAGGAAAGCTTTACCATATAATGAACATTACATATAGTGCTTTGTTCTGGTTCAAGAACATATTTAGTTAGTCTCTGAGGTGCAAATCTATCCTACCTTCTGCCTGGTTCAAGAAAGCAGACAGACAAAGGTGGTGAAGGATATTAAGTAGAAGCTCTGTGTTGTGGCCCAGTAGGGGGCGTTACTATACAGAGCCACCCACCCACTCAGGAATTTTTACAGTCCAGTTGCCTAGGTGACCAGGTTGAAACCTAATAGCACACAGTTTGAAAGAGGAGGGGTGAGTAAGATGTCCCAAGGCAGGGCGGAGAGAGGGAGAGGGATTTCTTCACACCCAAACCTAGGATATAGGGCCACATATAGAGCTACAGACTGAATTGATGAAGAGACTAAACTATATTTGTACCTGTTAGTGCCTTGTGTTTGATTAACATCTGGTAAGATAGCATGTGTGTGGATTGCTTATCATTTGAGGATGCATTTTTTTTCTTGTCACGCTATTGTCCTAAAATAAATGGTACTGTGTGATTGTGAAATGTGATTGGTCTCTGTGTCCCTCTTTCACTGTCCATGAGAGTTGGCAGGACTTCAGGTGCTGAACTAAGGTCAGATCTGCTACAAGTCCATGCAAGAAAGATGACAACTGACCTGAGTGGCTTGAACAATATGGGCACATCCACACATGCAAGCATGTGCGCTTCCAGCAGCTCAAATAGAAGTGGTGCAAATTTGAGCTGGGGCTTTTTGCCTTGGTGCACGTGCTTGGACATGTACTTTGTTGTAGAGCAAATTGTGCCACTTGGGGCAAAATAACCCTGCCTGGCTCCTCTCAGATCTTCAGCCAGGGGGAGCTAGAGCCTGGGTCCAGCACCTGTGCTGTCCCCAGCAGTATAAAAAGCTGCCCTGTCCTGGCCCCATACATACAAAAAGCTGCCCTGGCAAGCAGCTTAGGGATATTTGCTCTCTGCAGCTTCTAGAGCTCAGCCAATTGATACCTGGGGCCACTACCCCTTGTGCCAGCTGGACTGCTGCAGCAGCATCCCAAATCCATTTTTAAAAATCCCCCAAAATTCATGTTCTTCCATATTTAAAACAAAAAACCACTGTACACACCTACACACCCAGAGAGAGAGAGAGAGAGTAATAAGTTGGGTAATGCTTTATTGGTATATTTACAATGTTAAAGCAATTTGGAAGCCTACCACTGTCTCTCATCATGAAAAAATAAATTCTAAATACCTATGTGTGTTCATAGATTTCATAGACATTAGGGCTGGAAGGGACCTCGGAAGATCATTGAGTCCAGTCCCCCGCCCAAAGGGCAGGAAGTCAGCTGGGGTCATAGGATCCCAGCAAGATAAGCATCCAATTTGCTCTTGAAGGTGTTCAATGTAGGTGCTTGAACCACCTCCGATGGCAGGCTGTTCCAGACCTTGGGGGCTCGGACAGTAAAGAAATTCTTCCTTATGTCCAGCCTGAAATGGTCTTGTAGTAGTTTATGACCGTTCGACCTCGTCATCCCTTGGGGCGCTCTGGTGAACAAACGTTCCCCCAGATACTGGTGGTCACCCCTGATAAACTTATAGGTGGCCATCAGATCACCCCTGAGCCTGTGCTTTTCCAGGCTAAAGAGCCCCATGGCTCTCAGCCTGTCATCGTAGGGTCTGTTTTCCTGACCTCTGATCGTGCACGTGGCTCTTCTCTGCACTCTCTCAAGCTTCTCCACATCCTTTTTGAATTGTGGAGCCCAAAACTGGATGCAGTACTCCAGCTGCGGCCTCACCAAGGCCAAGTACAAGGGGAGAATAATGTCCCGGGATTTGCTTGAGAAGCATCTATGGATGCAAGCCAGTGTTTTGGTTGCTTTACTAGCTGCAGCATCACATTGCAGGCTCATGTTCATCTTGTGGCCAATGACCCCCAAGTCTCTTTCTTCTGTAGTGCTAGCCAGCGTAGCACTGCCAAGCCTATAAGGATGCTGCAGGTTTTTCCTCCTAAGGTGGAGAACCTTGCATGTTGATATGTGCTTTTGGTTTTCTTCGTATATGATGGGTGTGTGATGGGGGGGATGTGGTGTTTGTAGACAGGGGGTAAGAAGGGGTGTGGGGGAAGGTGGATGGGTGGCTGTGGAGGGGTGTGGATTGGTCTGTGGGTAGGAGTGGGGCAATTTCTGGGAGCACTGTGGTTGTGGGGGACCTTGTATGGGGGCTTCTCAGGAGGGGTGAGTCCCCCAGCCCCCACAGGGTGCAGGCCCCCCAGCATGTAGAATGCCCCTCTTCCTGCCAGGGTCCCAGCTCAACCCTGGAGGGCCCCATCCCCTATCCTCCACAGGATCCCAGGCACCTTGGATGGCATGTACGTGGGGACTGTATGGAGCCAAGCTGCCTCCTGTTGGCCCCAGGTGGCTCATGTTCCCCGGCCCGGCCTAGCGCATGGGGACCATGTGGAGCCAAGCTGGGTTCTGCTGGTCTTGGGGCTGCTCATGCCAGCAGGCAGCCGGGCTGGGCCAGGTCCTGCTGCTATAGGAAGGGCCAGGCCAGGTGGCAGGACCCGGCGTGGTACGCAGGATCCACGTGCTACACCGGGTCCTGTCAGCATGGGCCAGGCCCCAGGGCTGGCGCCCGTCTGTGCCGCCTGTGCCTGTGTGAAGGGGTGAGGACCTGGCCCAGCCCCATGTGGCTCACTAGTCCGGCTTTGCACCAGAGTGGGTCACAGGGCTCCGGGAGGTGCGGCTCCTGTGTGCAGCTCCCAGAGCCATGTAACCCGTTCGGTGCAAAGCTGGACTAGTGAGCCTCAGGGATCTGGGCCAGGTCCTCACCCCCCCACTGCCCCCAGGGACTTCCCCCCTGCCACTCTCCTACCCCA